CTACCACCGATGCCGGATTAACCAACTCATACACTAATTGTATTGGAACGTATTGGTAAGTTGGTGTTGATGTTAGTAACGATGCAATTTTTGTCGACAATAGTTTTTATTGAGCGAAAAACTTCTTTGCAATTTATCCAAATTACGAACGTGCCCCGTTTTTGATAGTTGGCCGAGAAATTCGGATTTATTATCTCACCTATCGAAGGAACCTTTAAGCTTTTACAATCTTTTCATAAGTTATTAAGGTACATAAAGAGAATGTATGTATATAATCGAAATGGGTTGATAATGATAATAATAATAATAATGCGCAGAGCCCAAACGGTTAGGAGTTGAAAGTTGAAATTTGGTACACAGTTAGGGTATGTCACAAGAACTACACTAAGAAGGGATTTTTCGAAATTCTCCCCGTGGGAGAGAGGGAGAGAATTAAGTCTTAACCTGAAGAACTGGTTCTACTGTACTATTTTAGATTCGGTTTTTTGCGCTTTTTGACTGTTTAGTAGGGTATGCCAGGAGAATGCACATTAAATTAAGAAGGAACTTTTGGAAACCCCTACGAGGGAGAGAGTTAAGGATCATTTCGAAAAACTCGGCTTTTACTGTACTATTTTAGACCAGGTCTTTGGCGTTTTTGAGGGTAATCGAACATGTTTTTAGACAAGGGGTCGGCAACCTTTTGAGTCGGAAGAGCCAAAATTACAATTTACAAAATTTCAAACTTTTTAAAGAGCCACAAAATTTTTTCTTGCCAACAATAAATACTACTCTCATAAATAAAGTTTTTTGATAAAAAAAACTAATCTATTTATTCATATATAAGTAGTGTTTTTCACAACAAATTAGATAATAGAAACATCCGATGACGGCGTCATTCGAGAGCTTCCGACGGACTGACGATAGTGACGACGCGTGTCACGGGGAGGGGTGTGGTGAAAAGCGAGTACAAGTGGCTGAGAGATAGAATCAGTGCCTAATCCTCGTTAATCGATTCAGAACAATTTAAAATTTTTTTTTCATAAAATAAATAATATTTGCGTATGGAACTAAAGAGCCGCAGCTTCACATCCAAAGAGCCACATGTGGCTCGCGAGCCGCAGGTTGCCGACCCCTGTTTTAGACCCATCTAAAACTTTTCTAATTAGCCTGGGAGGAGAGATTCTAATTTTTGCACCCGATGAAAACGGGTAAGATCGGCTATGTAACTATAAAGGTTATCTTACGTAAGAGTTTATCACACCGAATGATCAATCTAACACGTTTTAAAAAGCTTTTATTCTCCTACTGTACACAATTTAAAAATTTTTTAAATGTGGGCACTCGGTGTGACAAACTCTTACGTAGGATAACCTTTGTAAATCAAATACTATAATATAATATAGTAGAATGGTTAGAAGTAAAGAATAATCTTATAATCTTAATCTTTGCTGTTGTTATTTTTTGCCCGAGCAACGCCGGGCTCATCCGCTAGTCTATAAATAATTTTATATTACTTGGCAAGTAAAACAGTCACTGACAGACTACATATACAGGAATCAGGGTTGCCGATTTTTTCGCCCCAAACACCCGAAGTAATGGAGTTTCGGAGTAGCTCGTTCGAAAGACAATTGTTCTCTTAGTGTGCAAAATTTCGAGATTTTGTATAAAGCGGTTGCCGAAATATAAGCAATCGAAAAGCGTAAAAATCACCACGGGAATGCAAACGCCGGTAGAGAGAAAACTACTGGGTCTAGAAAGCTGAAATTTTAAACCTGCGCCTTTCTGATTATTAGTGAGGTGCGGACGAAACTTCTGGGTCGATAGGTCAAAGTTCACGGAGGTTTCCCATAGGGTTAATTTAGTTTTACTGCTTAATTTTATGCTCATACGGATAAAATTGCATGGAAACAAATGAATTTTACTCAAAATGTTACTCGGAATTACAAAAACTCAGATTTGTTGCGAATTAAAATTTTTATAATGATTTTTCTAAACGGCGCACAGTGACTGAAGTAGTTGGTCAAAAGTCGAATTTGTAAAATATATTGAAAGAAAAAAATATGTAAATTCTGACAAAATTGAACAGTCAGAGAATAATAGTGCACCAATTTTTTCATTTTCTGCTCAGCCACGTGCCAGTAAAATAAGTCAAGAGCTGTTCGTTCCGTTCTTTCATTCGCATTCTTCCTACAATTGATATATTTTCTTCGGAATGTAATTGGAAGGAATGTGACCTTTAATGTGCTGTGGAATGTGACCTTTAATGCATTTTTAGAGAAGGATTTTGGACATTCAAAATGCTTTGCTTATGCCGACGACGTCATGCTGCTTATGGGGGGCAGGTCCAGAGCTGACCTCGAAAACAGAGGAAATACTATGCTTCAACACATCTATAGCTGNATTTATTACACATACATACACATTGTAAAAATTCAAATAACATTAATTTTGATACTTTTCAGTAAAATTAATTTTTGTTTTAATAGCACTGGTTCACGCTTTAAAACGTCATAAAATTCTATACAGTTTATTTGAAAGTTGTATTTGACAGAAATAATGCGCTTACTTTTAACTGGGTTTTTTCATTCGTCCACATATTATTCACCAATGAAAATATTCGTTCGACAATGCATTAGATCCAGGGAGACAAAGAAAATTCTACGATTTTACAAATGTTTTTTAAAGCAAATTTTTTGCTGTAAAATGTTCAAAAATCTCAACCCACTTTTGATGGCAGGCCTTGTTATTCTGTCGCCATTCGTCAATCTTTTCGTTTGTAACATATTTTTTTACAAACAAAACTTTATCAAATAATTCACTGTCGAGTATATTTACAGACCAATGATTCGAAATAAAAATCTAGCTTTCCTCTACTTTCACCCACAAAGGGATTTTGAGTAATGTGACCCATTCAAACACCTCTATTTCAATAAAACACATGTCCCAATTATTTAGCACATTAACAGTAAATATGTCACATACTCGAGCCCCCGAAGATTGTCGACAAGTATCGACGAATGCTCACCAACGCTCCAAGTGTATCATCCACCAACCAGAAAGTTAAAAAACTATCACAAAAATCCTCATAAGAGTGTCCGCCCCTTGGTACTGTCAAAGGGCCGTTCGGTTGGCGACACTGCACTACCGCGTTCTATGTAGCAACGTATTGACATGATGACAACACTGATCGCAATGGCGTACACGAAACTAACTTGTTCAATATATTATTAAAAAAGTTTTTAAACTTTGCATTGAATTTATAAAATAAAGGACAAAATGCCTATTTTATAAAATAAATAAAGTTAGAGGACAGAGCAGTGAAATAAAGGACTGTCCTCTTAAATAAAGGACGTATGGTCACTGTAAATATTAGTGGCGGAGTGGAATCTCTGTATTGTCAGATTCCAAAAAAGCCAGATTCGCGCACGCGCTTTACAGAGCACCAACCTCACCCGGTTTAGCCGGTGGAAGCCTACGACCTCGAGTTGATGCTACACATTTCACCGCTTCCAATTCTATCCGGGACCGGTTACGGGCTGTAGCCGCCCGCCCGCTCGATATTTGGCCGATTGCGCGAATAACGAGTAGATTTATAACTTAATCCAACCGATAAGAATTTAGTGGTATGTTTTTACGATAGTTTTCTGTATAGTTTACAGGAGTTTTAAAAAATCCGTTAAAATATTTGATATATTTATTCCGCTCTCCGATTTTATATTACTCACGGATTTCGATGTTAAACCGGTGATATTACGATTTCGTCTGTCCCATCTCTAAGGGGATGTAGAAAAAACGTGTACAATTCTTGTATCAATACAATGTTAAAAAATTAACCGTTACTTTGGTAGCATCATTTACAACTAAATTTAATGAATGAGAGAGATGCACCAGCTACGGAAAAAGCTCTAGAATTTATTTTCCTTAAATTTACGATTTATGTATCCGTTTGTCATAAAAATTTGTCCTTCCATTTTTTTCCCGAGACTACAAATATTCGAGTACAAAGTAACTGGTTCCGACTTATTTCTACTTAAGAAGTAATTAAATAATTAAGCGATTAAGGAATTGGGGACGTAAACATAACCCTGACGAAAGAGCCGAAAAGCTTAACCGAACCAATTTATAGCCGAGTACAGTGGGGACCGAGTTCTTCGAAATACTGTATTAGATGTGATAAAGACAGAAATTTTTCCAGTTCGACGAAAGTGACCGAAAAGTTGTAAATTTTGGAAATTTCCGTGGACAACACCTGGTCCTAAAACGAATTAGTTAGAAAACAAAAGACGGACAATCTATTAAGTTTAACGTATTTAGATTTTTACAGCTACGACGAGAAACGTTTAAAATTTACAACAACCCTGTCGCGTCCTTTGAGATATACTAGTGATGAACAAAAGAGACATTAACCGGTATCGGCACCCTCGGGATTTGGCACGCATGCGCGCACCGCACACCTACCAAGATCGTCTCTGATTTCATCCACGAGTCACTAATAGGGAGCACTTTTAACTAAGTGGATTGTTTTAATATTTAAAAAGTGAAAAATATCTTATGCTGTATGTACGTTTCTTCACAAAACTATATTCATACAATCGAATATTTTGTACCAGGTATGTATAATTGTATATCGATCACACATTTTATTTTAACAAGTAAGTTTTTATAATTTTATTTTTAATTTTAGCCCTTATAGCTATTAGAATGTAATTGCGATATTGAAAATTTATTTCAAAGAGTTTTGGCTCGAGACCTTATAATGAAAAAGAAAACATTATTAAAAGAGAAAGACCAATGCCTAAATTAGATATAAATAGGTCAACAAAANGCACCATGTTACCAAAATCATTACCAGAGGATGCCCACAGGGGTCTGTTTGCGGACCCTTGCTGTGGAATGTGACCTTTAATGCATTTTTAGAGAAGGATTTTGGACATTCAAAATGCTTTGCTTATGCCGACGACGTCATGCTGCTTATGGGGGGCAGGTCCAGAGCTGACCTCGAAAACAGAGGAAATACTATGCTTCAACACATCTATAGCTGGGGAGAGGAACACAAATTGAGGTTTAACCCCAACAAAACTAGAGGAATAGTTTTCAACAGACCTAGACAAGCTAACCTCTATCGGCGTCCGCCACACCTCAAGATGAACGGTAAAATCATAAAGGTAAAAGAGACCCTCAAATATCTCGGTGTAAACTTGGATTTTAGGTTGTCTTGGGACAAACACGTAGAGCATATAACGAACCGCACTGGGCTTATCCTGCAGTCCTACGCCCAGGTGGCGAAAAATAACTGGGGATTGACCTCAAATGCAATGTCAATCATTTACGATGGGATATACTTGCCTATTATGACTTATGCCTGTGGCACCTGGGGGTGGGCCACAAGGAAGGTACACACAAATCGCAAACTGATATCATCACAAAGACGTGCGCTTATCCTGATAGCTAAGGCATTCCGAACCGTTAGTAACAGGTGTCTCCAGGTGATTGCACGGAAGCCGCCCATAGACCTTGCTATCCTTCAGAGACAAAAGTACCAATTAATCAAATGGGGTGAGAACATCCAGACTACAACAAGCACAATACATCATGATGACATTGAATGGCCTATCCCATTTCGCGAATCTCTCCCTCCCAATGAAAGTACAACCGACATAGACAACACTAGTGAATCATCTAACATCAATATTTTCACGGACGGGTCTCGTATTAACAACTCTGTAGGATGCAGCTTTGTAATATATAACAACAATACAGAAATCTCTCAACAGACGTTCCGGCTGGATGATAGGTGTACTGTATTTCAAGCCGAACTATTCGCTATTGGGAAAGCAATCGACTATGTCAACCAGACCTATGAGAATGTAGCTGTCGACATATACACTGACTCTCTATCTGCATATAATTTAATTAAAAGCAACAAACTACATCCACTGGCCGTAAAAGTTAAAAACTTGATTAAAAAATCGAAATGCAATATATACATTTCCTGGGTCAGAGCCCATCAGGGCCTGAAAGGCAACGAGAGAGCGGATACTCTGGCTAAGTACGCAACCACGAAAGATAGCAACAATACTGAATATAACAAAATTAGTCAACAAACACTGCGGCAACTCTTATGGAAAGACACTTTACTACAGTGGCAAACCACATGGGATCACGATATGCAACACATAACCCACAGGTTTATTCCGGACTTGAAGAAATTTATTAGCATAGACTGGTATACTCCTGATTATTGCACTACCCAAATATTCACCAAGCACGGCAAGTTTGCCAATTACCTTGTCAGGTTCACAAATAGGACTTCTGGTCTTTGCCCTACATGCAATGTTGAAGACGGTCCTGAGCACTATATATATGATTGTACCGCTTTTGAACGCGAAAGGAACGAATTAAGGATTCTTATTGAAGAACAGGGCATAGAATGGCCAAGCAGTCCATCGGATATCTGGCTAAACAGAGAGATCTACAACAACTTCAAACAATTTGCTAAGCAAAATTACTATGTTAACAAAACCAAGATCTACAGCTAACGCTCTGTGTTGGGACATTTTTCGCCCCCTGTTCTTTACAAGGTAACCACTACACACAAAAGAACCGTCACGTGTCTTCTAAATATATATGGAGCTCTTCTTACCAACAATGTATACTTTGTAAATATCTTAAATGGTTTTTTTTTTGTTTTGTCCTTTTTATTAATTTTATTTTTATTTTTACTTTATTTTCTGTACACCTCCTACAAGTGTTAATTTTATGTAATTTACCTAATCGCAATGTATTCTAATCTATACTGTCAACTTGTTCCCTGGTAATGCTTCATGCGGGGCCAGGGCATGTACAATTAATGTACCAATAAAATATATTGAGTGAGTGAGTGAGTGAGTGTAATTGGAAGGAAGTAATTATTGCTGAAAGCGGATAGGCGTGCATAAATTCTAAATATTGTCGTTACGAGTACTTTAATTTTGAATAAGATATAGCAGCTCGAAAAAAGTACTTTTTTTTCTTCTTTTTTAGCGTATTTTTACAATCTGGAGAACATTTGTTGTATTAATTTTTCTTTTAGTACAAAGTTAAAGGTTTATAGTAAACAATTGCACAAAAATCAGCCGCGGAACGTCGTGAATTTTAATGATTTATAATTTTTAATAATTGGCTATCACTTACGACAGGCTAATGTTTCAAATTGTTTCCGCGCAGTAATTTGACGCGTTAGTATGCAAATTTTAACGGATATATATATTTTATTATTTGTTTACAGCAGTGTTTCTCAACCTCTAACGAATCGTCGCCCCCTTCAACGTAGTATCGCCCCTTCAATAAAACTATTTCGTAGTATCGCCTCCTTCACTTCAAAATTCCGATGCCGAGGGCCAAGGCTAACGCCAAATTCGTACTGCATTGAATAGACTAGTGACTAGTTTAATGTTATTTGTTTAATTATTGTACAATATAACGATTAAAATATCTAATTATTCTTAATGTAATGTTTTACTAAATTGCCCAAAAAATTGTTTTTAGCCCCCAAAATATAAATTGTTACTAATCGCCCCCTCAACATGGAAAAACGCCCACATGGGGGCGATATCGCCCCCGTTGAGAAACACTGGTTTACAGTCTGCCGAGTAAATTTCATTCTCACGAAGTGACAGTTTTTTACGCTAGTTCATGTTTTTTAATTTTTTACAATAATTTCCAAAGCGTTACAGTAGGACACACGGAGCCATCATCAACATGGCTTTACTCCTGGGAAGTCCACCACTACGGCTCTCACCAAGATCACAGAGTACATCACCCAGGCAAAAGCTGAAAGGAAGCACACTCTGTTAATCTCGATCGACTTCCGTGGAGCCTTCGACAACCTCTGGTGGCCCACAATCCTGCAACAGCTCCAGGTTCACCACTGTCCTCGAAACTTATTCCATCTGATCAAAAGCTTTATCAACGACAGGAAGGCTGGCCTTTTTGTGAACAACATTAGTCACTGCCATCATGTCACCAAGGGCTGTCCACAGGGGTCAATCTCCGGTCCGGGCCTATGGACTATCGTCCACAGCGATCTGCTATCTAATATTAATAATGATAATGACAACAACCATCTTATCCAAGGCTATGCTGATGACACAGTTATTCTTGTCTCTGACAAGAACTCTGGCAATTTACCCATCCTCAGTAATAATCTCCTAACAAAGGTCTTCAGCTGGAGCGACAAAAACAAGCTCCCCATCAATTATTCGAAGTGCTGCTATATAATTTTTTCTAAAAACACTCCGCTACAGAGAAGCCCACGCATTGAGATCAATGGTGTCAAAATCTCCCGTGTCAAGGAATTTATATACCTAGGTGTTAAACTCGAGCAACAACTACAATGGTCCAGCCACATTGACATGGTGGTCTCGAAAGCAACTAAGGCATCAAACGCCCTTTTTTCTATCGCTAAGAATACCTGGGGCATTGGATACAAAGCAGCCAAATACATTTATCTAGGAGCAATTGAACCTATTTTGCTCTATGCGGCTCCGATCTGGGCGGAGGCTGCACAGAAGGTTCACATTCAAAGGAAGCTTTCTAAGGCCCAGCGCATTGCAGCTCTTAGGATCTGCAGGGCTTACCGGACGGCCCCGACCTCTGCCCTTCTGGTCATTGCTGGTCTGCTTCCTGTCCACATAAAAGCCAAAATGGCAGCCAGGATCTGGAACATTAACAACTTAGGCACCAGCAACTACCTCTGCAACACCAATAAGAATAATACTATGCTTTCTGATCTCCCTGAGCAAGTAAAGGAAGATATCAAATCCTACGGTATTGAGGTGAAGGATGCTAACTCTAATATGACGGTAGGCTACCCTACCATCAGTAGTTACACCCTTCCTCATGATGATACCTGTGACATCTCCATCTACACCGATGGGTCCAAGAACAACGAGAATGTGGGGGCAGCGTTTGTTCTTATTAACCATCAAAACGGCGACACTCATAAGTCTGCCTTCAAATTAGGTCCTCATTGTTCCGTCCCCCAAGCGGAAATACTTGCTATTACTAAGGCAATCGACTACGTTTTCACCGATTGGTTCCCCCGTAACAAAACCATCATCGTTTATACCGATAGCATCACTGCCATCCACTACATTACTGGCCTCCGACGCAGAGGCGATAACGTTCTTCGAATCCACCGTCATCTTGCCTCTAATACGCACAACCACAATGTACATTTTAAATGGGTACGTGGCCACTCGGGTGTAGCAGGCAACGAAGCCGCCGACAGCCTCGCTAAATCCGCCGCAGCCTCCTCCCTCCCGTCTAGCTACGACAAAATCCCACCTTCTAAAATTAAGTACTGGAACTTCCAGCTTGCAATCCACCAATGGCAACAGGAATGGGATAGCAGCATCACCGGCAGGACGACTTTCAACTTCATCCCTAACATCACCCAGCGCCTTCAGTGGAGACACTTCTCTCCTTCTTTCGCTATGACCCAGTTGCTTACTGGTCACGGCAACTTCAAGGCATACTTAAAAAGATTTCATATTCTAGAAGACAACATCTGTCAGTGTGATGGCACTTCCATCCAGGACAGCAGTCACTTCCTCTTTGACTGTACGCTGTTCAACCAGAACCGTGACATTCTTATTGGCAGTGTACTCTATGCTGGCTTCAACTGGCCCTGTCCTTTTAACGTCTTCCTTGAAAACAAGGACATTTATTATAAGCTAGCAGACTTCCTCTCAGCGACGGCAGCACTGAATCCAGCGAGCAGTCTACACATCGCAAACAACAGTGTTCGAAATCCTGATTGAGTGGACTTCTCTTGAACAGTGTTTCTTCATTGTACCCAGGAACAGTTACCTTGTGACTTTCACTTCCTTTGTGGCTTTCTGTATCATAGTGTTATGCTACTGATCGCCACGCTACATGCTACTGTTTTATCTGTTTTACTGCTTTGCTTGTTCTCCCCACTGCTTGTCAGGCAGTTGTCCTCATTATTTGTCTGTTTTTTTTTTACTCTGGTTTATTTGTAAATAAATGTGATGCGTGCGCTGTGGGATCCCACCTCTTCCTCACTCTTCCTGCCCCCACTTTTATCCCTTATCCTTCGCATTTCTCCCTCTTCCTTCATTTCTTTTCCCCTCCTGGTCGTACCTATGAGTGATACCAGGAGTTCCCCACTTTTCATAAATAAAAAATAAAATAAAAGTAGGACACACGGGTTTCGGCCCAAATTGAAGGCCAGATGTTGTAATTTAAACAAATCTTGACACGGAACGCGATAAAATACAAAAGTGCGAATTTTCGAACGTCGAGTTTGCTCATTGAAAACAGTTTTAATATGGTTTTAGGATCACCCGGTGTTAGAATATCGACTCGACCGGAATTAGTTAACCCGACGCAACAGCAAAACTTGGTTTGTGGAAAATTTTCTTTCAACTTACGACAACTTCTCAAAAGAATAAATAAGGATAATAAATAACAATCTTTTACACGTTAAATTCGAGTTGAAACGAAGATGATCGGAAGCGCACAAGAAAGAAAAAATATTTCTTGAAAAAATTGTGACCGGTTACGAGGAACATTTGCTCTATTAACACTATTAAGCTCAAATCCCCTTTTAACGGGTATGAGGTCAACGAAATTTTTCTGAAAGGAAACTCTAGAAATGCTAGTTCCAGTCGAACTTTTGGGCTCACACTTAGAAAAATCAGAAATTATAGACTTCTCGGAAGAAGAACGGGGCATCATTTCATAAAGAATCATTTAAATAATCGTATTCTATCTGTTCAAATTTTAAATATTAAAAGAAAGTAAAAGGGTAGTTTGAAAATGTAATTGTCTTATTTTTCATAAAAACTGTTCTCAACTACTGAAAATACAATAATATAATTCGGTAGAAAGCAGACTTTGACCTAACAGGACTATAGATATAATTTTGGTCAGCGAGATCAGTCAAATAGCCAACTGCGCGGTATCGAAAACGTTCGGCGACCGATCTTACGCCTTGCCGTAATAATGCAATTATTAAACAAAAACAATTGAGATGTGAAAAAGTTTGGCCTAAAAATCGATGGCAGTTTAGACCATGACGTCCAACCCGCGGCCCACTGCATCCTAAATTTTTAGGTACATTTTAATTACTGTGGTAAAGTATGTCGTAAACTGGATACACTTTGCTGTATGACGTAATTGGTGCTAGAAAACTGCATAACATACTGTTGCGAACAATTGAGCCGTTGATTTTGAAAGCGCAGCCAGTCCATTTTGTGAAAGAAATAGTTAAAGCTAATTCTTATTACAAATTTACGTAAAACTTATGTTTTTAATCAATTCACAATAAATACCTTTTAGTATCAGTATAAATTTGTTGCTAGTAATTTACATCGTCAACGATATTTACAGCGAGCTGATTTTGAAATGAGGCAAGACCATTCTAAAGAAAAATATGAAGATATGATAGATTTATTACCCTAAGTACCACCCATTTATCACGAATACTTTAAAAATCTGCACCATCTAAACTAAGAAATATAATTATATGCATGCAACTTATTACTAAATACTTTTTTCTCCACTTTTTCCTATAAAATTAAATTGATTTTTTCTTTTATTGTAGCTTTTCGAAAAAGTATGAAATGTCGAAATAGAACAAATAAGTAAATAAACAAAACATCCAATTTCTTGTTGTTATAATTATATTGCGTGAAAAGAAAATCATTGCATTTGAAAGTCGGGCAAGTCCATTGACGCGTACGAAAACCGTGATTTTTTTCACCTAACGCGGATAACCATCATTGGAAATAAAATAAGTCTATTACTGTTTACGAATATTTTTAAACTCATTCGAATGCACACCATTAAATATCTAGCAATAACATAAAATGGACTGGTCCCACTTTCAAAATGAAAGTCAAAACTGCTGAAAGAGATACGTCGAGTGATTCCCATTTAACTAACATTCTTAGAATTAAGACTAGTACCATATTGACAATATTATAAAAGGAATTTATTTTTATTTTGTGTGAGTATAATTTCTTTCTTTACTGTCAATAATACAGTACAGTAGTTTTTGTAATTATATCCGTTTGTTTTTAAAGTTTAATATTTACATTTTGAACTTTTTAAAAGCATATATTTATATAAAGTATGTTTGTGGCCCGCCAAATACACCTAAGTTTCTAATTTGGCCTATTACGAACAATCGTGATTTATACGACGGTCAAAAGTTTTCTTAGCAGTGTTTCATTGCTAAAGATAGGCACAAGATTTTTGCCTTATATTCCGACCGTGGCGCCTCGTCACGAACTTTTACCCGGACAAAGTTCTTTTCATCTCGGATTATCCAGAAAATGGTTCGGTATTTCCAAATGAAATGTTGTTAACGGAGTTGGCAATAATTATAAATTCCAATGCCAATGTAATGAATAAAGAGCAGAAAGTAACATTTAACAAATTACTCTTGCTTAATTAATTCGTACAAATAGTCGTAAAGACATGAACGCCGTGTTACGAATCGAGATTATTGGACGTAGTCGTACTGTTGGTAAACGAAGTACAATACGCTTCTTATAATCACAATAGAAAATATATAGCCGTAAAATTAAAAGGTGTCGAGCGACACCTACTGCGCATACGATTTTATTCGTAGATTCGCATTATAAATGCCGGTATGTTGTAAGTAAACCATAGAATGTTATTAAAATAATAAAATATAAATTAAAGTACATTGTCACGATTAATTAAATGAATCCCATTAGTGTTACGTGTCTGGTGTTACACATTTTAAATGAATAATTTGATTTAAAAAGATGAAAGTGATTTGTAAGAAATGTAAAATGAAACTAAAACAAAATATAAGCCATGCTTATTTGGGAAACAATTTTTTTTATGATTTAAATTATCTTTTGTTGTAATTATTTAGTGAGTGTTTTGTTATGGAAAAAAGATATGTTTTAAAACACAAATTTTAAAGAACACTATTACGTTTTTTACTGTGTATCATTCTCGGCTTATGTCCGGGACCGAATCTTACAGGCGGGCCAAACAGCCAAGCCTATGAGACTAATACGAAACTTTAAACAGTTGGAAAAAATTTTCTGACAATATGAAAAGTCGCCAGAACAGTAGCTATTTTAAGGATGTAAATAAATTTGAGTGAATGTCAGTTGTCTTCGAGCTATGTAACGAATGTGAAATAACTCTTGTGGCAGAGAGAACAATAGGTATGGTTCCGTAGGCGTTTTACCTTTTTCAGAGAGATAACCGTATTTACTTAGTTTTACTTTCTCAGCTGTTATAATGGCGATCGGCCAAAAATGACCCTCTCATCCAAGATTTTTACATTTGTGTACTCGGGACACATTGAGACGTCAAAAAATGCAGAAAGATTGGAGGGTTTTTTGTATGTGTGGGAACACGATTTTGTTCACCCTCTTTGAAGCTTAATAACTCATGTGCTTTTTGTCGAAATTTTCTGAAATTTTGCAGGGAGTTTGTTTATTAGAGGGATTGATGTTATTAAATTTTGGTAGTTGAAGTTCGAGGGGTGGAGAGATAAAAGGGGTCGTGTGTATCTCTCCAGTAAGGTCGGACTTAACGACAATTTTGCTCGTTATTAGGAATTACAAGTTTTATAAAACTTATCCCCATCCTCAAAATTAAGCTATTTTCCATTTTATAATAATTAAAAACACAAACAAGTAAAACGGCAAAACCGTATTTGGGACAAGACTATGTCTCGGTGACGAAATCACTTTGATGCTCAAGGCGGGTCTCGTTCTCATTCTCCTATCTTCTTCGATATCGCTGCTTTTGGGCGCGATCGTTCAAACTTTGCCGGCCACGACCACGAGATCGTCCACGGTGCCTCTCCAATGAAATTAACTTATCTAATTTCATCTCTCCGTTGCGTGTCGGCCCGGGTTGAAGTTTTGTCGATGCGTAACGAAAAGTTCCCGGTTTTGAAAAAAATAATCGTGGCTTTTGTATCGTCCGAAATTATTTTTTTATTTCGCGCAAACAATATACAGTTTAATCCGATTATAACGTTATTGAATGTAACGACAGTCCTAATATAACGTCAAATTTTTATCGGTCCTGCGATTTTACTATACTAGATAATGTTAAAAAAGCCCACTTGTAACGACATGAAACCGTTTTAACGTCATATTTGAAGCACTCCCAAATTTACAAAATTAGATTACAAATTTTATTTAACGTAGAAAAAATTACGTGTTCGGTTCTAAGGTCAGAGTTCGCCTCTTAGAATGACTGCGAGTGGTACTCTCCCCTACCCGACTTCGGTGGTGTGAGGTGGCTGTTTTGCCCGTTTATAGAAGAGGGTCGCCATTTTGTATTTTATTTTGACTCGATTCTCGGTTCCCGAATACCTACGAGTCTGGATCTTTTTATGCGCGAATGATTTGGACACCTAATACTCTGTGCCAAATATCAACTGTCAACGTGTACTCCTTCATACTTCTATGCTGGTAAGGATATCGGGCAGTACGATTTTATAAACAAGACAGTCTTGTCAAAAATTCTTTTTAGTAAAATATATTAACAGATGGCGCTACCAAATGTTGCCGGGAAAGTTTTTTCAGTATAGCTCCTTTGTAGATTATGTGCATTTGTTACAGTGATGTCAATGATATGGGTAGTTTCGAGCACCGTCAACGAGGATAATAGGCTACCCGGCCTATTGTTACGGATGGTTTTATCTGTTATATGTTAATTGTTCTGTTATGAAAATTATTATGAATATTTCAGTGCATAAATCGGACTGAAATTAATTAATAGCATTAATTTA